CTCTAACAGGTATGAGGTGATAGCACATTGTGGGTTTGATTTGCATTTCCCTGATGATTAGTGATATTGAGCACCTTTTCATGTACATGTTGGCCATCTGTATATCTCTTTGGAGAAATGTCTGTTCAGATCCTCTGCCCATTTTTTAATCAGATTTTTTTGGGTTTTTTGCTGTTGAGTTGTATGCGTTCTTTATATATTTTGCATATTAACCCCTTATCAGATATATGATTTGCAAATATTTTTTCCCATTCAGTAGGCTGCTGTGTCATTTTGTTGAAGGTTTCATTTGCTGAGCTGTGACAGGGCGAGAGAGAGTCATGGACATATACACACTAACAAACGTAAGGTAGATAGCTAGTGGGAAGCAGCCGCATGGCACAGGGATATCGCCTCGGTGCTTTGTGACCGCTTGGAGGGGTGGGATAGGGAGGGTGGGAGGGAGGGAGACGCAAGAGGGAAGAGATATGGGAACATATGTATATGTATAACTGATTCACTTTGTTATAAAGCAGAAACTAACACACCATTGTAAAGCAATTATACCCCCAATAAAGATGTTAAAAAAAAAAAAGAAATAGCTCTGAAACACTATCAGGAAAATATGATCTAGAAATAAAGCAAAAGATGTGACTATACAACCTTTTCTTAAGACCTCAGATCAGAGGACCAGAGCATTCAGCCACACAAAACTCCCCTTGAAGAGATTAAGAGTGCCTTATAGATCTCAATCAAGCAAGAGGGCCTCTAGGAAGCTTAAGAGTGTTTCCCTCAGCCCTCTCAGCAGGAGTCCAAGATAAAGAATGGCTTATCTCAAACAGATCTGTAGGTGCACTTTTCGTCTAAGGGAGTGAACCCAGTGAGATTCACAGACAACTCATAAAATTTTAGAGCAAATTATATGAACAGAAACACTACCACCTTAGACTTAAAGGGATAGAGACAATACAAAAATGGAAAGATGTCAGACCTTCAAAATTCTACCGGTAGGAAGCAGACTGAGAAAACTCTTCTGCTACCTTTCCTGAAATGCTACCTTTCAACCTTTCATGAAATAGGAAAGATGGCTCAGAGGGTGGGACCCGAAACACAGAGGGTAGAACCAAAAGCCATGAAGAACTTATCAAGGCACTCCTAAATTTGCCCAGCCAGATAAAACTTATTTTCTTCATCATTTAAAAAGTTTGTAGTTTGTATTCTGTATTCTGACCTCTGTTTCTTCTGTTGAGCACTGAGTGGTCATTTTAATCACTGTTTCCCTGTATGTAATATGTCTTTTTTTGTTTGTTTTCTGGCTGCTTTCTTTTCTTCTTTGGTTTTCATTAGTTTGACTACACTGTGCACAGGTGTGGTTTTCTGTGGATTTATCCTGTTTGAATCTGTAAATTTATGTCTTTTACCATATTTGGGAAGTTTCTGCCTCTTATTTTTTTATATAAATTTATTTATTTATTTTTGTCTGCATTGGGTCTTCATTGCTGTGTGCGGGCTTTCTCTAGTTGCGGTGAGCAGGGGCTACTCTTCGTTGTGGTGCATGGGCTTCACATTGCAGTGGATTCTCTTGTTGCAGAGCACGGGCTCTAGGTGCACGGGCTTCAGTAGTTGTGGCATGCGGGCTCAGTAGTTGTGGCTCGCGGGCTCTAGAGCGCAGGCTCAGTAGTTGTGGCGCACGGGCTTAGTTGTTCCACAGCATGTGGGATCTTGCTGGATCAGGGCTCAAACCCGTGTCCCCTGCATTGGCAGGCGGATTCTTAACCACTGTGCCACCAGGGAAGTCCATGCCTTTTTTTATTTTATCTTTTTTTATTTTTTGTGGTACGCGGGCCTCTCACTGTTGTGGCCTCTCCCATTGTGGAGCACAGACTCCAGACGCGCAGGCTCAGCAGCCGTGGCTCACGGGCCCAGCTGCTCCGCGGCATGTGGGATCTTCCCGGACAGGGGCACGAACCCGTGTCCCCTGCATCGGCAGGCGGACTCTCAACCACTGCGCCACCAGGGAAGCCCCACTTGGTTATTTTTTTAAATTGAGGTATAATTGACATATAACATTATATTAGTTTCAGGTATATAACATGATCATTCAATATTGTATATATTGTGAAATGATCACCACAGTAAGTCTAGCTGACATCCATTACCATACATAATTACAAATTTTTTTCTTGTGATGAGAACTTTTAAGATTTACTTTCTTAGCAACTTTCAAATATGCAATACAGTATTATTAACTATAGTTATCATGCTGTATATTACATCCCCATGACTTATTTATTTTATAACTGGAAGTTTGTACCTTTTGACCCCTTCACGCATTTCACCCACCACCCACTCCTGCCTCTGGCAACCACCAACTGTTCTCTGTATCTGTGAGCTCTGTTTTCTGTTTTTTGTTTTTCTTAGACTCCACATATAAGTGAGATCATATGGAATTTTCTTTCTCTGTCTGATTTATTTCACTTAGCATAATGCCCTCAAGATCCATCCATGTTGTTGCAATGGCAATATTTCCTTCTTTTTTATAGCTGAATAATATTCCATTGTGTGTGTATGTATGTGTGTGTGTGTATATACACACACACCACATTTTCTTTATCCATTTTTCCACTTATGGATGCTTAGGTTGATTCTATATCTTGGCTATTGTAAATAATGCTGCAGTGAACGTGGGAGTGCAGATACCTTTTTGATTTAATATATTCATTTTCTTTAGATAGATACCCAGAAGTGGAAGTGCTGGGTCATACCTAGTTCTGTTTTTAATTTTTCGAGGAACCTCTATCTTGTTTTCCATAGTGGCTGCACCAATTTACATTTCCACCAACAGTGCCCAAGGGTTCCCTTTTTCCTGTGTTCTCACTAACACTTGTTATTTCTTGTCTTTTTGATGATAGCCACTCTAACAGGTATGAGGTGATAGCACATTGTGGGTTTGATTTGCATTTCCCTGATGATTAGTGATATTGAGCACCTTTTCATGTACATGTTGGCCATCTGTATATCTCTTTGGAGAAATGTCTGTTCAGATCCTCTGCCCATTTTTTAATCAGATTTTTTTGGGTTTTTTGCTGTTGAGTTGTATGCGTTCTTTATATATTTTGCATATTAACCCCTTATCAGATATATGATTTGCAAATATTTTTTCCCATTCAGTAGGCTGCTGTGTCATTTTGTTGAAGGTTTCATTTGCTGTGCATAAGATTTTTACTTTGGTATATTCCCACTTGTTTATTTTTGTTTTTTCTTGCCTTTGCTTTTGGTGTCAAATCCAAAAATTTGGGTTCATTTGCTTGCATAAGATTTTTACTTTGGTATATTCCCACTTGTTTATTTTTGTTTTTTCTTGCCTTTGCCTTTGGTGTCAAATCCAAAAATTTATCTCCAAGACTTATGTCAAGGAGCTTACCACCTATGTTTCCATCTAGGAGTTGTGTGATTTCTGATCTTATGTTCTAGTCTTTAATCCATTTTGAGTTATTTTTTGCATGTAGTATAAGATAGTGCTCCAGTTTCATTCCTTTGCATGTGGCTGTCCAGTTTTCCCAACACCATATATTGAAGAGACTGTCCTTTCCCCATTTTATGTTCTTGGCTCCTTTGTCATAAGTTAATTGACTGTATATGTGTGGGTTGATTTCTGGGCTTTCTGTTCTATTCTGTTGATCTGTATATTTGTTTTTATACCACAATCGAGTTACTTAATACATTCATCACCTCACAGAGTTGCTTAGTTTGAGTGTGTGTGAGTGTGTGTGTGTGTGTGTGTGTGTGTATGTGTGTGTGGTGAGAACACTAAAGTTAATTTTTGTATATAGTGTGAGATGTGGGTCAAGGTTTGTTTTTTTCCTCCAAAACTCATATCCATTTGTTCCAGCACAATTTTTAAAAAAGACTTTTCCTTTCCCCCATTGAATCACTTTGGCACCTTTGTCAAAAACCAGTTGTCCATATGTGTGCAGATCTGTTTCTGGATTCTCTATTCTGTTCCATTGATATATGTGTCTGTACTTAGATCAATACCACACTGTCTGATTATTGTAGCTTTAAAGTAAGTCTTAACATTGCATAGTATAAATCCTCCATGCTAATCCTTGCTTTGTGTATTCTAGTTCCTTTGCATAGCCATATAAACTTTTAACATCTCCCTGTCAATTTTTACCAAAAAGTTGACAAATAATTGGCTGAACAAGTAGAAGACAAATGAGTAAAGTGATATAAAATTTCAGCAGCACTCAATCAAGTTGATTTATATATTATAACTGCACCCACCAATAACTGAATATGCAGTCCTTTCCAGGGACACATGAAACGTTCTTCTGGATAGAACATATGTTGAAATCATACAGAGTATGTTTTCTGACCACTATGGATTAAATTAAAATTGGCCAAAAAAAAAAAAAGGCATCAAGAGAAAATGGCTATATTTTTGAAGACTAAATGAAAGCAGCAGTAGAGGGAGCTATGTAAAGTGAAAAAAAATGTACATTCTTCCTTCTAAAAGTTATAAAACACAAATTCCCATTAAAATGAGCAACAAAATAGGATCAAGTTCAAATCCTGTACAGAAATATTATTTTTAAAAATGAAAGACTGAGGGGCTTCCCTGGTGGAGCAGTGGTTAGAGTCCACCTGCTGATGCAAGGGACACGGGTTCGTGCCCTGGTCCGGGAAGATCCCACGTGCCGCGGAGTGGCTAGGCCCGTGAGCCGTGGCCGCTGAGCCTGTGCGTCCGGAGCCTGTGCTCCGCAACGGGAGAGGCCACAGCAGTGAGAGGCCCGCATGCCAAAAAAAAAAAAAAAAAGAAAGAAAGACTGAGTGTTGTACACAATGAATAGCAGAAATTTCCAATTAGATATTTGTATTCTGTACATTATGTATAAGTAGGTATTTAATAGGCATACCCTATGGGATATTGTGGTAAAAGTTACTAAAAACAATTTTCTATCTCTTCCCTATCCCGCCATGCTGACCATGTCACCCTGAACGGGATTGTGTTGTTACAGGTGTCAGTGTCCTTTGAGGACGTGACTGTGGACTTCAGCAGAGAGGAGTGGCAGCAGCTGGATTCTACTCAAAGGCGCCTGTACCAGGACGTGATGCTGGAGAACTATAGCCACCTTCTCTCACTGGGTAAGCAGAGCCACTCTGTGAACCTACAAGGACCTTGTTATAGGTAAAATTGTGGCCCCCCCCAAAGAAAATATGTTGAAGCCCTAACCCCCACTACTTCTGAATGTGACCTTATTTAGAAATAGGGTCTATCCAGAAGTAATCAAGCAAAAACAGGGTCATTAGATGGGCCCTAATCCAATATGACTGGCATCCTTATAAAAAAGGGACATCTAGACACAGAGACACAGAAACACAGAGGGAAAGCAATGTGAAGACATACAAGGAAAAGATGACCATGTGACTGGAGTGATGCATCTATAGGACAAGAAATGCCTGAGGCCACGAGAAGCCAGGAGTGAGGCATGGAACAGTTCCCTCCCTAGCACCTTCAAAAAGAGCATGGCCCTGCTTACACCTTGATTTTAGACTTCTGGCCTCCAGAACTTCAAGACAATAAATTTCTGTTGTTCTGAGCCACCCAGTTTGTGGTACTTTGTTACAACAGCCCTAGGAAACTAGCACAGCTTTCTGTACTGGGAAGCGGGGTGCTGCCATAACAAATACCTACAAAAACCATGGAGGTGGCTTTGGAATTGGGCAATGGGTAGAGCCTGGAAAGATTTTCAGGTGCTTGATAGAAAATGTCTAGATTGCCTCAGAGAAACTGTTGGTAGAAATAGGAGTGTTAAAGGTGTTTTTGGTGAGGTCTCAGATGGAAGTGAGGAACATATAATTGGAAACTAGTGGAAAGGTGATTCTTATTATAAAGTGGCAGAGAATTTGGCTGAATTGTGTTCTCTTGGGTAGAAAACAGAAGTCGTGAGTGATGAATTTGGATATTTAGCTGAGGAGATTTCTAAGCAAAGTGTTAAAGGCAGGGCTTGGTTTCTGCTTCATACTTACAGTAAAATGCTAGAGGAAAGAGAAATTGAAGAAGGAATTGTTAGTAAAAAGGAACTAGAATATGAAGATTTGGAAAATTCTCAGCCTATCCATACTGCAAAATATAAGAAGGTGTACTCTGGAAAGAGCACCAAGGGTGTGGCTGGACAACCAGTTGCTAAAAAGATTAGGTATATGATTTGTGGATCCATTCAACCATCTCAGGAGAAACGCTGCCAGCTTGGGCTGAAGAGGACAGAGGCAGGGAAAAAGGAAGGAAGGCTGGGGTTCTGGGATTCTACAGACAGGACACAGTCCAGTAAAGCTATTTGGCTGTGAACACCCTTCAAGAAAAGGGATGAATGACCCCCAAAATGGTTCAGAAGCCAGCAGGGCTGTCACTGCCATCACAGGCCCAGAGAGCACAGACTGGGGAGATGCAGGGTGACTGGCTGTCACCTCTTTGTTTCCAGAAGGTGAGCCACCTAATTAGTTCCAGAGCTAAGAGGGCAGGGCCACCACCCAGGTGTGAGGTCGCCACATCTGATCTGAGGTCACACCTCTTAACATGCTCTCTTGAACTCTCTCTTGAACTGTCCCTTATGGTACTTGTTGACTATCAATTTTGAGCCAGTATTTAGCCTTAGACGGAGTTTACCGCCCACTTTAGGCACATTCTCAAGGAACACGACTCTGGGAGGACCCAGTCTCAGTGCTCCAAGGGCGGCTCCTGGCCTCATACCATCCACAGGCTGGGCCTCCATCATAAGGACTTGGGCCCCTTATGAGCAGCACTGGGAGGCAGGTGTTGCCCCTCCTTTTGTTTATGGAAGAGCCAGACACAAAAACTTACTCTTCAAGACCTTAGAAGGGATATCTCAACATGCCCCACACCACTGGACCCCTAGAAATTTCACTGCGATAGAAGACCCCTAAATTTTTGTCAGATTTATTTCCCACCTTCTGCCACACAAATGTCTTATCCATAAGTCTAGAGTAGTTGCTCCTCCTTGCTCACTAGGCCTAATGAGCATAGTATCATCCATGTAATGGACCGATGTGATGTCCTGTGGAAGGGAAAGTTGATCAAGATCCCTGCAGACTAAATTATGACATAGGACTGGAGAGTTGATCTGCCTCTGAGGTAGGACAGTGAAGGTGCATAGCTGGCCTTGCTAACAGAGAGAAAACTGCTTCTGCTGGTCTTGACTAACAGGTATTGTTTTTCAAAAAAGCATTTGCCAGATAAATAGCTACATACCCGGTATCAAGGAGTGCGTTCATTTGCTCAAGCAACAAAACCGTATCTGGTACAGCAGCTGCTGTTGGAGCCACTACCAGGTTGAGTTTATGATAATCCACTGTCTTCTGCACAGGCCAAATAGGCATGGTGAATAGGGATGTAGTGCAACCACCACCCTGCATCCTTCAGGTCCTTGATGGTGGCAGTAATCTCTGCAGTCCTTCAAGAATGCGGTACTGCTTTTGGTTTACCATTTTCTGAGGTAGAGGCAGTTCTAGTGGCTTCCACTTGGCATTTCCCACCACGCCTCACTCCATAGGTCAGGAAACCAATATGGGGATACTGCCTGTTGCTGAGTATGTGTATTCCAGTTATGCATTCCTGGACCAGAGAAATAACCGCAAGATGGCTTTGGGGATCCACTGAGCCCACTGTGTGTGATGGACCTGAGCGAAAACTCCATTGATCACTTCACTTTTATAAGCCCCTACGCTGTCTGGTGGGCCACAGTGATGTTTTGGGTCTTTTGGAATTAGTGTCAGTTCAGTGCCAAGGTCCAGTGATATCTGGTAAGCCTCATTGTTTTTTTCCCCAACGCACAGGTACCCTGTAAAGGGCTATAGGTCCCTTTAGGGAAGGTTGGGAGAAAGGTTAGTAGTATAAATTTTTGGCAGTGTCATGGGTTCCTTCCTTCAGGGACCCAGCCTCCCCTTCATTCAAAAGTGTTCATTCCGGGTATATAAACTGGCTCAAGTCTGAGAATTGATTGAGGAGCCAGGACTCTGTGTTTTGATGTTTCAAGTTAGACTTCTGTTCACTCGACCTAGGATTCTTCTCCTTGTACAGATCAAGTAAGAATTTAGTAGATTGCCCACCTATTTCTTTTCTAGGGATGTCAGGATCAACTAGCCAACCCTATAGATCTCTGTGAATTGGACTTTTTGTTTGTTTATTTTTTTGGCAGCACAGAAAGTTTGTTTTATTTCTAATGTATATTAAAGACATGTATGCATTTTTTCCTATTTGACAGTAGTATGGTATATGAGAAAGAAGTTTAAATCTTCACCTGGCCACTTGTTGAGTGACTAACTAAGTCTCTTACTAGCTATGTGATTTTGGAATTTTACCTCTCTGAGCCTCAGTTTCCTTATCTAAAGGGACTAAGAGGAGAGTTATTTTCAAGATGAAATGAATGAATTTATCTAAAGTGCCTAGGGCAGTGTCTGGTACATAATGAATACTCAGTATTCTTTTATTTCCCCTTTCCTTGCTCTTAATTTGTTGATATGTCTGTCTGTGAGCAGATGAGCCACTCTGTAACAGGTGTTATATTTAATGCTATTCCTCTATTCTCATATAGTGTTAGAAGGATAGAGAGGTATAGACATATAATACATAAATATATGAGTATGTAGCGTAGTTTCATAAATATCTGAAAACTGTTCTTTGCTAAATGTTCATATACTGTTTTTGTCCTGCTTTTCTTAGACTGTCCTAACTCTGCTGCCTTGAAAGAAGGTTATCTCTTAAATAATGGAACACTAAGATAAAGGTTTGTTTTGAAAGATGTCTGAAGTCTAATGAGTAGGAGAATGAATTAAAACAGTATTATAAAAATGTCTACTCTTATGTGTGAATCGGACTTTTCTGATTACTGCTTTGACCCTGTGGTAACCGCATCCACCTTGCATTTGACAACTCAATGCCTCTGTTTGGCCCCTGCCACCCCAGGATCCAATTACTCCCATTGCATTTAGGTTTCCCAGTTCACTGGCAGAAGTTCCCACTGAAATTTCTGACCTACAGCAAGGAGCTTGCAGCAAAGAGCAATCACAGATTACCCGGGGCCCCTTCACAAATTTATTAGTCACAGTCATCATGACAGGTGTGTCTCTGGACCCTCCCAGTGTGAGTGAGCAGACCTTCCACGATAAATCCACTCTAACATTCCAATCTCCCTAAGCCTTTGGATGCCTTCCTCTGTAGTACACCAAAGTAGTCCTGGCATTTCAGCTGCATTTAGTGTGGGCCATGTTTTGGTCCATGTTTCAACCAACCAGCCAAACACACTGTTTCAGCCCTTCCTAACCCCTCAAGTGGCAACATTACATTCAGAATCTGCTTTAGTGTACACATATCAATAATTTTGGCCTGATCCAACTTTATGTTCTTTCCATTATCCCACACTCTTAATATCCATTTCCACACATATTCCCCAGATTTCTGTCCGTATAGATTGGACAAATCATGCAGTTCTTTTGGAGTATGTCACACCTCCTCGTGGGTCACACTCTGTACCTCACCCTTGGGCCTTGATGAGACTTAAGTCTAGTTATAGGTCTGGAAGCAAAGAAGGGTGGTAGGCATAGGTCCTGAGGGGAGCCAGCAGTACGTTACAAGGCAAGTCCCTCGGGGAGCCCACCGCAGGCCCCTCTGGCAGAGGAGGGTTAAACTTCTCAGTTGAGGGCAAAAGGGCTGCTTCTACTGACAAAGACTCATCTGAATTTAGCAGTTCAGTGTCCTCATATGTCTCCATTCCAGTTTTCAGGATCCCGTTCCTTCCTCATCAATGCTCTCCTTTAACAGCAGACACTCTGTGAAGTTGGGAATTCAATTTGTGTTGTAATTTAGCCACTCACAGGATGAGAGTCTGGGTTTGGTTTTCAGCCATCTCAGCTCTGCAGCTATAGCAGCTAAGGGTTACTTTCAGGACAGACAGAGAAATTTTCAGGTCACTTATGCGATGCATGATCTGGAGAATCAAATCCCTGAGCTCATCCTTTTCTTTCCCCACTTCATCCAGCGCGATTAGGAGTAACCAGGCAATCTTATTATACTTGGAAGTTTGACAAAAATTTCCAAGGTATCAAATACAAGGTTATCCAGAAGCTCACTTCTTACAAGCATTTGATTAGGAGTATCCAGTGTTGATATTTTGCATATCTCTATTGCCATGTTACACCAGGGACTATTAGTGCCCTCCTTACTACTGAAATAGAGTCATTAGTGCTTTTGAATCTAATCAGAATAAGGAGTCAATTCTAGAAATCCCATAACTAATTCATAAAACTCATCCTTGAGATTCTGTTCCTCTAGAGCCACTCTCTATTATGGTTCTGCAGAGAAATAGAACCAATAGGATACAGGTATGTACATATAGAGAGTATACACATACGTGCATGCGCACGTGTGTACATAAATACAGAGTAGGGGGGAGAGATTTATTTTAAGGAACCAGCTCACCCAGTTGTGGGAACTGGCAAGTCTGTAGGGCAGGCCAGCAGGCTGGAAATTCAGGTGAGTTGATGTCGAACTTTTGAGTCTGAAATCCACAGGGCAGGCCACAGACTGCAAACTAGGCAGATTTCTTATGTCGCAGTCCTGAAGCAGAATTCCTTTTTCCACTACCCCGTTTTTTGTTCCCTTTGCTCTCAGCAAGCACCTCAGCTGGTTGTGGTTTTTTACCAAGTGGGATGACCCAAAACTTTATTCCTGAAGGGTCTGGCCCATCAGTAGTGCTGCCTGAGTTGAATTGTTGTAGTTTTCCATTGACTTTAATCACAGGGCATGATAGTATGCCTTATGGGGTCTCCTGTATTCTAGACATACTCTTCTTTACCTCCATCATGATATAGCAGTCCAATTTCCCCTTGGTGGTCAAGATCAACCACCACAGCCAGCACAGTAACTCCCTTCTTTGCCTGTTGATTCAGAGGCATGAAAAGACCAAGATGTCCAGGTGGCAGACTTAACTTCCAGTTCAAGGGAATCATTGTTGTGTCTCTCGGTGGAAGTATTCCTCCCTTTGGAACTAAAACGTGTAGAACAGCAGAGCATAAGGTTGCCGGTACAGGAAGCAAAATTTTTGCTAATGGGTCACTAGTGGTAATACTAAGTGGTGCCACTCCTGGCCCGGGGCTGAGTGGGTGGGGCTACCACCCTCGTGGGCTTGGAGGACAGAGTGTTGTACCAATGAGAATTATTGTGAAGCCTTAAAATCTAATGGAATTTGCCCTGCTAGGTTTCAGACTTGCTTGAGACCTCCCATCCCTTTTTAAATTCTAATTTCTCCCTTTTGGAATGGGAGTATCATCTATCCTCTGCCTGTCCCACCACTGTATTTTGGAAGCAGATAACTCATCTGTTTCCACAGGTTTGCATGGAGAGGAATGTTGTCCCAGAATGACTCATACTCAAGTCTCACCTGTAAGATTTGGATGATTTAGATGATGTGATCTGAGACTCTGAGTTGATGTTTAGATGAGATTTTAGACGTAGGAGTTGATGCTGGGATGATTAAGACTTTGGGGGATACTGGGATGGGGTTAGTGTATTTTGCACATGGGAAGGACATGAATTTTGGGGCATCAGAGGGCCGGCTCTTACGGGTTGAATTGTGTCCCCTCAAAAAAAATATGTTAAAATCTTAACCCCCAGTACCTCAGAATGTGCCCTTATTTGCAAGTAGTAATCTTTACAGAGGGGATCAAGTTAAGATGAGGTCATTGGTGTGGGCCCTAATTGAGTGGTATCCTTACAAAAAAGGGAAATTAGGGCACTGAAATAGGCACACATACAGGGAAGACAATGAGAAGAGACGCACAGGGAGAAGACATCCATGGGACTGGAGTAAAATGCGTTTACAAGCCAAGGAATGCTAAAGATTTTTGGCAAGCACAAGTGCTAGAAGATGCAAGGAAGGATTCTCCCCTATATCTGCCAGAGAGAACATGACCCTGCTAACACCTTGATTTGAGATTTCTAGCCTCCAGAAATATGAGACAATACCTTCCTATTGTTTTAAGCCACCCAGTTTTCAGTACTTTGTTAGAGCAGCCCTAGGGGAACTAACACAGAACCTCAGAGAGGCTGCTTCCATCCTCAGCTGCTGAGTGCTCTGGGGCATCTGAAGTGTGTGATGGTGTCATCCTTGATTGGTCTGAGATTCTTCAGTCCCTTTGCACCTTTGCGCTTATTACTCTTTTCCCAATGAAATGTGGTCACTTTTCCAAAGAACAAATGGAAAGCAATTAGCTGGACCCCATTTTCTATCATTTCCTGTTAACAGGATGTGAAATTCCCAAGCCAGAGGTCATCTTCAAGTTGGAGCAAGGAGAGGAGCCTTGGACGTTGGAGGAGGAAACCCCACATCAGAGCTGCTCAGGTGAGCGAGTGTGATCCGGGCAGAAGGGAGACATGGAAATACTTGAGGCTGATACTTGTAAAAGGCTATGATTGCTACCCTTTTTTTTTTAACATCTTTATTGGAGTATAATTGCTTTACAATGGTGTGTTAGTTTCTGCTCTACAACAAAGTGAATCAGCTATACATATACATGTATCCCCATATCTCTTCCCTCTTGCATCTCCCTCCCTCCCACCCTCCCTTTCCCACCCCTCTAGGTGGTCACAAAGCACCAAACTGATCTCCCTGTGCTATGCGGGTGCTTCCCACTGAAGGTTCAAAACTTTAGAGACTTCTTGAAAATAGATAACATTGGCCTCTCTGGTACCAAATTTCTCTCTCCCTCTATTTCCCTTACTGTTATCAACTGTCTTCTTGGCTTGGCTTTCCTCCAGGAGAATTGCTGCAATATGTATAGTCTCGATCATATGACAGCCTTCCTCAGTATGGATCTGGTTTTCTTGGATATTCTCTCCTTCCATCACATTTTTATGCTTTAGTACCGAAACCCCACTCCCAGGGTCTTAGATCCTTATCATATACATTCAGGTTTTAATGGATTTACCATCTTTGAAGATCAGTTGGTTGCCTCACTCCTGTTCTCCCTGGTGCCCTTTCACCTTCTTCTCCATCTCATTTTCATCTTCTCACTCTAAGATACCAATAAACTGTCATCTACAACCAGCCTCACCTTCTTTTCTCTTTGTAGGTATTGCCTTTAGATTCCTCACTTCTCTCCACCTTCCCTATCTCACGCCTCTCTCCCATCTTCTGGCTTTGTGATCACTGTCACCTAGCATTTTTTCTTTTAAAATCAGCTTTATTAAGGTATAATTTACATACCATAAAATGTATCCATTTTAAGAGTACAGTTTCCTGAGTTTTGACAAAGGTACACACTGATATAACCACCACCCCAATCATGACATATTACATTCCATCACACAGAATGCACCTTCATGCCCCTTGAAGTTAATACTCAACACCACTTCGGCCCCAGGCAACCATTGGCATGCTTTTTGTTATTATAGATTAGATTTGTCTTTATTAGGGTTTCATATAAATGGAATCATACTGTATATACCCTTTGGCGTCTGACTTTATTTGTTCAGCATAATGATTTTGCAATTCATTCATGTTATTGAGTGTATCACTAATTTGTTCCTTTTAAATAGTGAATACTATTCCGTGGTATGACTATACTGTAATTTGTTTATCTCTATACCTGTTGATGACAGGTGGTCATTGTTTGGTTATTATGAATAAAGCTGCAGTGAACATTCTGTTATGTCTTTGTGTGAACATATGTTTACATTTCTCTTGTGTAACTCACCTAGGAGTGGAGTTGCTGGTATAATATAATCAGTGTTTGCTTACCTTTCTTATAATTTCTTATAATTGCCAAACTGTCTTCCAAAGTGGCTGTATTATTATACATTCCTAACAGCAATACATGAGAATTTCTGTTGTTCCAAATCCTCACCAACACTTGCTATCGTCAGTCTCTTTAATCTTTGCTATTATAGTGGATGTATGAGTTTAAGTTGCATTCCTCTGATGAGTAATGATGTTAAGTATCTTTTCATGTGCTTATTGACCATTTGTACATTTTTGTGAGTTGTCGATTCAAATATCTTTCCCATTTTTTATTGGGTTGTTTGTCTTCTTTTTATTGAGTTTTAAGAGCTGTTTATATTTGCCCTATACAACTCCTAAGCCAGATATATGTATCACTGATATTTTGTTCCAATCTGTGCCTTGCAATTTTTTAAAATATTTTTTAACTTTTATTTTATATTGGAGTATAGCCGATTAACAATGCTGTGATAGTTTCAGGTGCACAGCAAAGTGACTCAGCCATACATATACATGTATCCATTCTCCCCCAGCCTCCCCTCCCATCTAGGCTGCCACATAACAATGAGCAGAGTTCCCTGTGCTATACAGTAGGTCCCTGTTGGTTATCCTTTTTAAATATAGCAGCGTATACATGTCAATCCCAAACTCCCTAACTATCCCTTCCCTCCACCCTTCCCCCCACTGGTAACCATAAGTTCATTCTCTAAGTCTGAGTCCGTTTGTGCCTTGCAATTTTATTTTCTTACTGTTGCCTATCAAAAGGCAAATATTTTAATTTTGATGGAGTCTAATTTATCATCTTTTTCAAACTTTTAGTATTTTTTGTGATCTGTTTAAGAAATCTTTGCCTACTACAAGGTCACAAAAATTTTCTCATATTTTCTTCTATAAGTTTTATTATTTTAGCTTTTTCAGTTTAGGTCTATGATCCATTTTGTGTGTTTAATGTAAGGATTGATGTTCATTTTTTTCAATACGACATTCAGTTGTTCTAGAACCATTTCCCACTGAATTTCCTAGGCACATTTATTAAGATCAATTGATTTCATATATGTGAACCTATTTCTGGATTCTCTATTCTGTTCAATTGATCTATATGTCTTTCTGTTTTAAAATGAAGGTTTTATTATTATTTAGGTATGGTGAGGTCAACAGATCCAGAGACAACTGCCATTGAAAATAGTTTGTAACTCACAGTTCTCAAGAGGAGGAGGCATGCCACACCACGTAGGGTCACACCAGGGAGCACCAGGGTCAATCACGAGGTAGAATTTGTGAGGAGGAAGCATGGGCAAGAGACTTTATTGTGATTTTCATGGAAATAATGGGTGAGCCAGAGTAATCAGGCTGGGGAGGTTTAGAATTAGCTAGTTTGAGTAATTTCAGCTGGCTCTGGGGTGTAGGGAGTTGCCTGGTACCCAGCCCTGAGGTGATTTGGGCATGGGGCTAGTGGCTCAACCTGTGAGATCGTGATGAAGGAGATAATTGGTGGATATGGGCTCTGGATTGGTTGTTTTGCATATGAAAGGTACGTTAAAGGGAAGTCATTTACTGCCTCTAGGAAATAACTAGGCCTGGGAGGGGCAGTCTCTCCAGGATCAGCAAGGCATCGGATGCCAGAGCATCAAGAATACAGAGAATAAGAAAATATAGTTAATACAATGTCCTTTTGCCAGACCCATACTTAATTACTGTAGCTTTTATAATGAGTCTTGAAGTCAGGTAGGGTAAGTTCTCCAGCTTGGCTTTTTAAAAAATTACTTTAGCTCTTCTAGGTCATTTGCATTTCCATATAAATTTTATAATCAGTTTGTAATTTTTTTGAAAAAGCTTGCTGGGATTTTGGTATTAATTCTGTAGATCAATTTTAGGAGAACTGACATCTTAATAATATTGAGCCTTTGAATCCATGAATATGGCAACTTCCTACATCTATTTAGACCTTTGATTTCTTTCAGCAATGTTTTATAGCTTTCTGTTTAGAAGTTTTATGTATCCTCCATTAAATTTATCCCTAAGTATTTAATGTTTTTTGATACTATTATAAATGGCATTGTGTTTTTTTTTATTTTCAGGTTGTTCATTGCTAATGTAAATTGCTAGTGATTTATTTTTGTATGTTGACTTTGTATCCTGAGGCATTTCTAAATCCACCTATTAGTTTTCTTGTAGGTTCCTTGGGGTTTTTCATGTAAGTAATCATCATCACTTTAAGGGCACTTTTACTTCTTCCTTTCCGATCTCATGATTTTTATTTCTTTTCCTTTCCTTATTTCACAGTCTAAGACCTTTAGTTTGATGTTGAATAGAAGTGTTGAGCATGGGCATGCTTGCCTTGTTCTGATATTTGGGGCAGGAAGTTCGTACCATGAAGTATGATGTTAGCTGTAGGTTTTTTGAAGCTGCCCTTTATCAGGTTATGTAAGTTCTTCCTAATCCTAGCTTATTGAAGAGGTTTTCTCTTATCATGGTTACATATTGTATTTTGTCAAGTGCTTTTTCTTCATCTTATTAGAGTGATCATATCACTTTTATTTTGTTAATATGTGAATTTATTGATTTTCAAATGTTAAATTGACCTTGCATTTTTGAGATAAATACTAGTTGATTTTGATTTATTACCCTTATTATATCAATGCATTGTTGGATTCTATTTACTGATTTTTTAAAAAATATTGGCATTTTTCATGAGTGATATTGGTTTGTAGTTTTCTTTTGCAATATCTTTGTCAGGTTTCGGTATTAGGGTTATGCTGGCCACAAAAAAATGAGTTGTGAAGTTTTCCCTTCTCTATTATCTGAAATAGTTTGTGTAAGATTGTTACTTTTTTTTACTGTTTCATGGAATTCACCAGTGAAACCATCGGGCTTGGAATTTTCTTGATGAGAAAGTTTTAATAACAAATTCAATTTCTTTAATAGACATAAGGCTATTCAGATTTTCTGTTTCATCTTTTGTCAGACATAGTAAGTTGTATTTTTTAAGGAATTTGTGTATTTCCTTTATGTTGTCTAATTTAATTCTGTTGTGGTCTGAGAAAAGAATATATTTAGCTGTTGATGGGTGTTGTGTACTAATATTGTATATATATATAATTTATAGATTTAAAGTTGGTTGTGTGTTGTTGAGGTCTGTTGCTTTATGGAATTATATTCTACTTGTTCAATCAATTATTTGTAATTATAGGGGATAAAAACTGACAAGGAGATTTTAAAGTTTATATGGATATACAAAGGACCTAGAATAGCCAACACAGTCTTGAGAAAGAAGAAAAAGTATGAAAGATTTACACTACCTAATGTTCAGATTTACTATAAAGCTACAGTAATTCAGACAGTGTAGTATTGGTGTAAGGACAAACAGATATATAAATGGAACAAAAGAGAGTCCAAAAATAGACCCACATGTATATGGACAACTGAGTTTTGAGAAAGGTGCAAATACAATTCAGTGGGAGAAAGGAACATCTTTTGAACAAATTGCACTTGAACAAATGGATATTAGTATCAAATGGAAGGAAAAAACCTTGACCGAAACCTCACACTATATACAAAAATTAACACGAGCCATAGTAGGACTGAATTGTTTCCATTGGACCAACCCATCTAACAGATCAAAA